GAGGGGTGGATGCTGGGTTTGGAATTCACTTTCTGGATCGCTGTATTTGAAGAGTTCCAGCCAATGACCTGATGTCTGGTGGAACCCAGTGTCCCTCAAGGGTCTGTACTAGGACCGGTGCTAATTAATGCCTTTATTAATGATGTAATGGGATTGTATGTCCCCTTGGCAAGTTTGCAGGTGACGCCACGTGAGTGGTGCCAGTGTTTCACAGAATCCTGGGATTGCAGGCTGGTTTAGGTTGGAAGAGGCTTTAAATACCATCTCATTCCAGCCCCTTGYCATGAGCAGGGATCCCCTCCCAGCTGCTTTGCTTCCTCTTAAATAGGATTTTAAATTTAAATGTGTTTTTTCCAATGATTTTCAAAACACCATCCCGGTCTTGCTCCAGCTCCAGAGGTATTTTAGCTCAAATGTTGTTTTGTTTCATGGAAATACCAAAGGAGAGGGTTTATGGATTTGTGGGAGATCCTAGAGAGCTTTAAGATCCCAAATCCCTGTGATCATAAGACCATCAAGAGTCATTGCTTCCCTACAGGCATTTTGCAGCACCAAACTCTGTTTTGAGGGCAGAAACCTATTTTGGAGTGAATTCCTTCAGACAACCAAGCTGGTTAAATTCCTCTATCATTATTCCATTCTGGATGATGTTCGGATGTGTTGTCCTCCAGGTTTTAATGACAGGGAGCCGGGATTCTTTTTTTCATTTTTTTTAAAGGCAGATTCCATCTGCACCCAATTATAAAAAAGCCATCGGAAAAAAGCCATTTACTGGCTGTCACTTCAGTGCGGCGTCAAAACGGCTCCGGCACCTCCAGCCATCACTTCCCAACAGCCACTTAGGACATTAAAACAGCCTGACATCCATCCAGTCTGTTAATCCCACTGCTGGGCCATGGGGATACTTGGAACAGCTCCGGCAAAAGCTGCATGGATGCTCGAGAAGGCTTTAAAAAGTAGGAAACACTGGAGCTGAGGCAGTTGAGTTTTGGGGGATTTCAGTGCTCCGCTTCCCCTGAAGGTCAGGTTGGTGGRACTTGTGTCCATCAGACATGGATCCCAAGGAAGCGGGAAGATGCTCCAGCACTTCATCATCTCTTCACAGAATCAGAATATTCTGAGTTGGAAGGGACTCACAAGGACCATCGAAGTCCAGCCCTTGTCACCTGCTGTCCCCCAGTGCTCGGAAAAGAGCAGGGGGTAAGATTAAGCCCAGAGATACTTGAGAAGTTCAACCTGGCTCCAGGAGCCAGGAATGCCAGGCCGGATGGGATCTGTCCTCCCCACCCTGTGCGGTCAGTGGGTGGTTGTTGGTTGGCCCAGTGACCCAGCTACACCTTCCTCCCACCCTTCCATCCCCTCCTGCCAAGCTTGTTCGTGGAAAATGTTCATTAACATCATTCCCAAGGCTGAGCCAGGACCTTCCACCAGTTGCTGCCTCCTCCTTTGCCAGCTCCGTGCTAAAGAAGGCTGGGCCCTGCAAACCTCCTCATCCCCATCCCGCTCCTGGAGCACATCGGGACCCGTTGGACCATTTAAGGCCTTGTGGATCCTTGGCAGCACCTGGAATTGCACCCAAAGCTGTCTTGGCAGCCAGGGAGGAGTCCTGGACACGAGATCTGCCAGCTGGGCACCATCCCAACCCCAGACACTGCTGCTGGACAGGCTGTTGGGGGAACCCCACAGTGGGGAGACCGGGTTTGGGACATCCTCATCAGCACCTGGCAGAGCCGCAGTGGGGTGAGATTTCTCCCCGCGGCTTTTTAGGGATTCCGTGGGGTTTTCTCATCTCTCTGTTGGAAGGGTTCAGACTTTTTTCCCTTTTTATGGCCCAACCTGTGGGCTGGCGGGGGTCCCGGGGGGGTATAATTAGCCACCCCGACAGGTGGCAGGGATCAGATGGCCCCCAGCACCACCCCACAGCCCCGCTCGACTTCACCCCGGCTGACGTGCGGCCGGCGGCAAAATTCCTTACGGAAGCCCAGCCCCGGCGTGTCGGATCTGGCAAGAGCAGGAGAGCTGCTGTAAATAAACAGAAGGGGCTTTTCCAGCCTCTGGAGGCGATTCCAGCCTCACCATCCCAGCCCTGGGACAGTGTGGATGGACGGGGCATTGCGGAAGAACGGCCGGAGCGCCGGGAACGGCGTGGAAAAGCCATTAGAAACCCGAGCTGGGGACACGGCCCCGGGATTAGTCGCACACGGTTTGTTTTCTTTATTAAGTATCTTTTTGCCATGGAGCCAATAAACATGGGCTGCTCCAAGGATTCATTTGGAGGTTGGGGCTGGGGAGGTGGTACATCCTGATCCCGGTGCCCTGCTGGGGTCATGGCACTGTCCCACCCMGCAGGGATTTGTAATTGGTGCCCCACTGGGAAGGAGCAGTCACGTTTCTTGGCCTTTTCCCAAAATAGCGTAATTCCTCGGTGTAGCAGTGACGCATCCATGTGGCTTTTTGAGGTCAGGGCTCTTCTTTCCTGCTCTTCTCCTTTCCAAGTCCATTTTGTGCTGCAAACCCCTACACAGAAGCAGATCTCACATCCCTTTTCAGGGATCATCCTGAGCAGAGCCAAAATTTGGACTTGATCCTTAGGTGTCCTTTCCAGCTAAGGATATTCTGTGATTCCAGGAATTGGCAAAGGTCAGACCAGGACCTGGCACCAAGGGCTTGCCCAATCCCACAATTCCGTGCCTCTTTGGGATTGTCTCTTCATAGTGGGCTTGGAAGCTCAGCCCACATGTTCATCCCAGTCTTGAATCCCTATTGGGCTGTTTCTTTATTTTTTTCTCTTCCYTAATTTTGTTCTATTTATTTTAAAATAAGTTATCAAGTTGAAAGATTGGCTTTTCTGCTCACTGATATTTKGGGAGAAATTCCTGTATTTGAATTCCTGTCCTGTTGCTGCCTTTTCCAAGCATTTCTCTTTGGTCCAGGATGTATCCTGTCTGCAGGTGAAGTGGAAAAAATGAAGAAAATATCCTGTGGAGATAGGCTGGGAGAGCTGGGGGTATCCAGTCTGGGGAAAAGAAGGTTTCAGCGAGACTTTAGAGGCTCTCCTAGTGTCTAAAAGGGCTCCAAGAGAGCTGGAGAGGGACTTTGGACAAAAGATGGAGTGACAGGAGAAGGTAGAATGGCATCCCACTGCCAGAGGGCAGGGTTAGGTGGCATATTGGGAAGAAATTCTTCCCTATGAGGGTGGAGAGACCCTGGAATAGAATTTTCAGAGCAGTTGTGGCTGCCCCATCCCTGGAAATATCAAAGTCCAGGTTGGATGGGGTTTGGCCCAACCTGAGATGATGGAAGATGTCCCTGTCCATGACAGGGGGTTGGAACTGGGTGATTTTTAAGTCACTTCCAACCCAAAGCATTCCATGATTCCACATTTCTATGAAACACACGATTTGGGAGTAATGGCAAAGCTGGGCACTGTCCAGACCTGGCTTTACTTTCCASTTGCCCACTGGCTTGTTGACCTACTTCCCTTTCAAGCTTCTTCAAATAGAAGTGGAAAACCATAGGAATGGGGGTTTTAAATGGGTTTTTTTTGTGGAAAAGCAGCACTGTCACTGCCCTGTCCCCCCCATCGAGCCCACATCCGTGTGTTCATGTGGATCCCAGCCCTCCTGCTGCTCAGCACCATCCCCAACCTCCAGCACACCAGCTCCTTGCTCCGCTGCCGACTTCAGCGCTCGGCCCCGGGCGACAGAGCTGCCGAATCCTTCTGCTGTTCAAGGAGAGAGCTCAGCAGGRATCCCGCTTAATCCCAAAGGTCAGCACGGGGAGCTGCTCCCATGTCCCCAAAGTCGAGTTAAATTAAAAGGGCAGGAACCGACCTCCATCCCGTGTCATCRGGAATATGGATTTTTATAAACAGGCCAGAGTGGTGGTGCTGAAACTCTCTGGGTATTTCTCTTCCCATGGATTTATCTTGTTTTCCCCAAAATTTGAGTGTCTGTAGAGAAATTGGATATGTGGGCATCCGAGTGTGGAAGGACTCACATTTCTCGTGGAGAAGGTCAACAAGGGGATGGATGTCAGAGCTGGGAATTCTTGGTTGTGTCATGTGTGGTGGATTGAGTGATGCAGAAAGCCAAACTGGGTGGGATGGAGCATCCTGGGTGGGAGTGGGTCCACATGGGGGTCCAGGATCTGCTCCCACCCTTCATCCCTTGGGATATGCTGGGATGAGCTCTCTGGATTGATGGGAACAGAGATCGGAGAGAGGCCGTTCTTTTTCCTTCCTCCCACCAGCATTCCCAGCCTGAAAGCATCTCCTCTTCCTGCCTTTCCCACTGCCAAAAAGTGCCATTTCTCAGCAGAAAACCTTGTGGGGAAGCTTTGGGRTGCTGGATGACACCTCACTCCCACCAGCACCACTCTTGGCTGCTGGGAGCCACAAAAATCTGGAGCTGGGAGTGCACGAACATTTTTAGGGATGAACATCTCGGTGCTGTTGCTTTGGCAGTCCCATTCCATGGCCACGCTGAATTTCCTTGGATTGGGAGAGCATCAGCCAAGGGCAGARCAGGTTGAGCTCCAACCCTCATCCATCTTCATCAGAAGGGTGGTCCAGGCAGCARTCCCATAATAAAAGGACTAAAAGGACTTTGTTCCTTCTCTTCCCGGTTCTTTCCCAAATCCCAGGCATGTATCCGACAACAAAACCCTGTGCCCTCACCAAAACCAGCTTCTCCAACCCAGTCAACCTCTTTRGGACCTCTCTAGGGGTAAATCATTGCTGTTAAGGTTTTGGTGGTTTGGATCCATAAAATCAGAGCTTTGGAAAGTCGTGGGCAAGTGTGGAATGTCCCAGAGCAGAATGTTATTTTTTAGAAACATTTTTTTCATGGAACAGTGTCTTGATACAGAGAAGGAAGCAAAAACACCTTGTTTTTTTCCCTTTAGCCAGGCGAAGGAACCCAGCTATAGAGTCCTGTGCTCCCACAGGATTTTCCCTGCCTTTCCCTCTTTCCCAACTCTGCTCCCTCTTTCCCTCACAGTGCAAGAAGAAGCACACACTGGTTTGTCCYGACTTTGCCAAGAAGGGCGTCTGTCCCAAGGGTGCCCGGTGCAAACTCCTGCACCCTCAGAAGAGACGTCACTCACAGCAGGCTGGACACGATGGAGCCCACAACAACCCCCCTTCCAAGTGGAGACGGCTCCAGGAGGAGTCACGTAGGTAAGAAAGAGTTCATTTTGCTGCATTTAACTGTTTTCTTCCCAATCTGCGCCAGATTTTTCCTCTTCCAAGTGTATTCCATCTATGTCCTGGTTTATTTGGAGRTGTTGTTGATGTGGGTCACTGTGGTGCTTCCTGATGGAGCCACGCTTGGGATGGGAAATGTCCATGCTTGAGGAACAGCTGATGGAGAGGAAAAGTGTGGATTCACCCTTAGAAATGTGCCATCCATGGCTTTGATACCTCCAAGTATCTCTGAGGCTTTTGTAAACTTTGCGCTTGGAGATGGAGAGGCCCTGATGGAGATTCCACTGCTGAAAGTGGGTCCAGGTTATCCAAAGTGATATGAGAAACTGGAAAACACAATCCCTCTCCCTTGAGTTTGTGTTGGAGAGCAGAGCTGAGCACTCTCCGTGGCCTGAAGGGGCTGGCAAARTGGAAACTGGGGATGGACAGAGACTTTGGAAAAGTTTGTTGCYGGGCTGGGCCCTTGGATAATCCTTGGAAGCTCTCTGAGCTCTCCCTGATGTTTTTGGGGCCACAGGCTGATAATGAATGCAATGATCCTCATCCTCACAAGGAGATGGATTTTCCTGTGCTTGGCACATCCTSTGTCCTCACTCACAAGTCCTGCCTGCAGGACAACTACATCCCAATGGAATTAAAACTAAATCCAAATGGAAAATTGGCTTCAAAAGCCAAAATCTCCCAAGCCCTGCTCAGTGGGAGCAGAAAGGATCRATTTCGGTGCCTGGCTCTCCGTGGCTTTTTGGAGTGGGAGGTGGGAGCGAAGGTGGGATGGAAAGAGAGGGACCTGGGAGCTTTGCCAGGCTGGTCCATGCTCCTGGAATCCTCCATGGTCTGGGCCTGGGCCTCATCCTGGCCCTGCCTTGTAAGGTAGCAGAGGGGGACGAGCAGCTCCGCGGGTTCTCCGAACTTATCCCGGGTGACAGAAGAGCCTTGGAATGACACCCAGCTCACGTTCCCGGTGTGAACGAGKTGTAAAATAGCTCCTTGCTCTTTTTAGGGAAAGAGGAATGAGCGCAGGGTTGGCTGGTTGGGAGGCTCCTGGCGTCCTCCGCYGGGAAGGGAGCACGCCCCAGCTTGGAAGCTGYTCCAGAGGGTTTTATTTTCCTTTATTGGCACCATCATGGGAGATGTCAAAGGAGCTGGAGTGTCAAGTTAGCCTGGAAGAGAGTGGCAGGGCTGGGAATGAGCCAAGCCCAGCAGGACATCTCCAAGCCATCCTGACTCTCACCCACCCTCCATCTCCCCTTCCCTCTGTTCGATCCCAAACAGGAGCCCAGCAGCTCCACAAGAATCTGAGGAGCTGGGAACYTTGCAGGGAAAGGCAGGACAGGGAATCCACTTAGGAGGGAGAAACTATGGCTGGATCCGTGCTGGCTCCAGGAAAATCAGGGATACAGCATGACATGGGATGGAAACCTGGGAGCTGCAAGCCTCTTCCACTGCATGTGATGCCATGCCCAGCATTGCCAAGTGGGATTGTTTTACTTTTCCTTATTATTATTCCCATTTGCCTCCTGCAGGAATGATCCAGCTCAGCTCCAGGATGATGGGGAAATTCCTGGACCCTCTGGTGCGGATCAAGATGTGAAGTTTTGGAAGGAGAAGGACTCYAAGCCAAGCAGCTGCCTGCAAAAGCTGCCATCCTTCATCTCCCTSCGATCCCCGGAATCTCCTGGTTCCCAGGGCTGCAAAGTGGAGAGGGATGAGGACGAACCAGAGGATGAGCCAGGTAAGAATCTCATCCTCTGCTTGGAGCTGCTCCCGTTTTCCAAGAAAAAAAAGTTATTCTCTGCTTCTCTCCACGGGTTTTGGTGGGATCCAGTTCTCTTGTGAATCACCAAACTAGTTAAGACTTGRGAGTCCAAACTGGGAATAGCAGTCAGGATTCCCATCTCGATGCATATCCTTGTATCAGTTCCCAAATTGTGTGTAAAGATTTTGTCCCCTTATTTTATCAACTCTTTCCTCATCCTGTAAATCATTTGATGATGAATCCAGTCTCATTWCCATTATGGAAGTGCAGCAATGCTCTATTGGGAAGGTGTTTAGTGGGATTCAGGGATGCTCTGCCTCTGGAGGACCTCTGGACCATCCATCGCACCTGTTTCCAAGCAGGAAATAGCTTGGAAGCTTCCCAATAAAAACATTCCACTGTGAGGTGGGGTGGAATGTTTGCAGGTTGGAAGTCTGAAGGAAGAGCTGTGTTAATCTGCTTTGGAAGTCAGTAAAATTTTTGGAAAATGCGCTTTTAGGATGAGCAGAACTTCCTGGAATTCCGACACATGAGAGAAAGCGGCTTCTGCTTCTCCAGTGTTTACCCTGGTTCCTCCTCTCCTAATTCAGCTCCTCCATGGGAAAATCCAAGAATCACCAGTAAGGGGGGGGATGGGATTTTGGGGTCTCCAGGAATGTATCTGCAGGAGGTGGCAAGGCAAGGTTTGTTCCTGGTCCTTCCCAGTGCTGAGTGGGAGGGTTTTTGCTGGATGATGCTCCACATTTCCCATCCTCCTCCAGAGGGATGCCAGGCTCCTCATCTCTGGAACACCATCCTGGAATGGGTTCAGAAATCAYAATATTTTGTGTGAGTAATGATGAAATTCCCACCACCAGCTTGGCTGGCACAAGATGTGGCTCAGTGTGAGTTCTATCTTCAACCCCTTCTTTCCACGCATCTGGAGCAGGATCCCACTGGGAGAAGGGATGAATTCAGCTGCAAAAGCCAGGCTGGAGCATTTGCAGGATCATCCAGAAGGATCTGCAAGGCTCTGCCTGGCACTTCAAGCCAAGGAGGGCTGAGATTCCTCAACGCTGTCGGAAAGAGAATTCCCGGGATTAACAACATATTCCCRAAGTCACAGACGAGCGGGTGCGCTGTCCAGCCATGGCGTGGTGGAGACAGCACGGGGACCATTCCAGCTGGGAATGCTCCTCTCCACAATATGGGGTGAAACACTCTGCTTCTCTTTCCGGGGATTTCTTCTCCCCTCCTTCCTTTTCCTTGGCCCTGGTTCAGCTCCCTTTGGATCTTGGGAACTGTTCCCAAAGCATCAGGAATCAGGGTTTTTACCTCCATGATAAAGTTGGAATAATGAATCCACAGAGGAGAAATCCATTGGAATGCCTTGGATTACATTTGGCAGCCTGGAGTAACTTGGGAGCAAGGGCATCCTTTTCCTCTTAATTCTGGTGTGTGCATCCAGGGGAGGATGATTTCCAGGTGTTTTGGGTGGGAGGATGAGGAGGAGGAGCCAGTTCAGTCAGGAATGTCGACAGGAAGTCTGGGTGAAACTGGCAGGCACAAGGTCATGGCACTCATCCCACCGTGCGTCTTTGCCCAGGGAATCTGGTGGCATTGGGAGAGCAGATGCTGGAGGATCCATGGGAAAGAAAAACCAGGCAGGAATCACAGATGGSTGTAAAATCATCTGGTGATGAAACAATTTCCTTGCCAAAGGAATTGYGTGCCAAGTCTGGACATGGGAATGTTGTTTGCATGCGTTTGCCCATCCTTGGGTCTCTTTTTAATCCCAACCAAGGGATTTAGGGGCACAGCAGCAACCCAGGGACCCCTAAAACCCAAGGGGAGAAGAAGAGCCCTGGCCACCATCCCGAGAGGACACAGGATGAGGCTGTTGATGATCCTAAAGGACCAAACACTTCGTGGTGGCCGCACCACTTGGACTGGACTCCATGATTCCTGTATCCCTTCGGAATATTTGGTGATTGTGAGATTGAGTTTGGAGCTGAGCAGATGGTCAGGATGGGTCCTTTTGTGGCTCTAGGAAGTAGCCGAAGTCTGTGGTGGGATTTGGGGGTGGAATTTGGGGATCTGTGCCAGTGATGATGTTGTGCTTGTGAAACCTGGAGTTCACACACAAATTATCAGGGTGGTAAATAAGAAAGAGGTGTGGTTGTTATTAAGGAATGAACTGAGTTCCTTGGTTAAACAGTCGCAATTGGAGAAAATGCCCTTTTAATTGCAGTAAGTGCAGGAGGAATGAGGAAAAACACCAGCTCTGTGCACAGGAGGAATGGGAGGGGGTCTGGAGATGACCTTTAAGGACCAGCGTGGGCAACAGCATCAGCTTGCGGGGTCTCAGTGGGGGTCTGGGCTTGGGATTTAGCAGAAGGGGACTGGAAAGGAGGGATTTGGTCTGCATGTGTGGAACTGAGCTGATGTGTTCCCAGCCTGCCAGAAGAGCATGGAAATTTGGGGTCAGAGGCGTCATTTGTTGACAAAGTGATCGGGCAAAGGTTGATCTTGGAAGTCTTTTCCAACTTAAATGATTCTGGGATTCTGTGATTTGAGGGCGCTGGTGCTTTCCAAGCATCTTTCAAAAAGCCAATCCAGGTGTCACGGGGACAGCCCAGCTGAGCATTCCAAACAGGGGGGGGCAGGCCTGGTGGCATCCCATCCTTCMCCTCGTGTTATCCACCCGGGAGCACGGAGCTGGAGGGAGAACAGGCTTCCCCACCCCTCTGACTCCCGTTTTCCAGGTAATGGGCTTTTCCATATTTCACCTTCCAGTTAAATCGYCTGTGCTGGAGCCTAACTGGCCTCGCCGCGCTAATTGCACCAATGCAAACCATTCCAATCGAGTGCTAATTTAATTAGAAAGCACCCATTTTAGTTAATTTGTTCGAGAAGATCACTGCAAACTCCTGGAGAGAACAGATGTTCCCCTCTCCCCCGATGAACATTCCGGGCTTTGTAAATGGCTCCGCTCAGCCTTGTTTAGGAGAGAAAAGAGGATTTTATAGCCGCAAACGACCCTTTCTGTAAACATTTTACAGCTCTCTGCACGTTTGAGTGACGATAAACCCCGAGCAGCTCGGCGGGCTGCAAATTTGGGACCATACGGCCGTCATTTTATTGTCATATTTCACGGTCGTAACGTTAATGGAAGATGCTCGCTCCAGTCTTTTTTAACGGCTCCGCTGAGCACGCTCAACCGCCTCGGCTTCCGAGGAATTCGGGGAGGCGCAGCGGCGGCTTCTGGGTTTGTTTACGGCTTCCAGTTCTRGAGGGATAAGTTTGGGAATGCGGATTTTCGCCTCTTTTCTCACCGCGGTTGAGGAATGACCCCGACGGGGCATGGAACTGCCGCTGCCACCATCCCTTGGGGGGTGGGTCCTGAACCAGCCATTCCCAGCTCCAAGAGTCGGAGAATATCCCAAATTGGAAGGGATTTACAAGTCCAACTCCTGGTCCTGTGTAGGACACCCCAATTTAATTTAAGAAAATTCTGCTGCTGTCGCCCTCCATGTGGATGTGGAAAATTCCCCTTGGGACTCCATCACCTTCAGCATCTCCTTCAGTGCTTCTTYTGCCACCAGCTCTTTGCTCCAGAACTTTTTTTTTGGCAGCCAGGTGAGGCAACCAAGCCTTTGATTGGTGCCGGACGGTGGCAAAAGATGCCTTGGAGCTTTCCAGGAAGCATTTGTGTGGTTGGGGATGGAGGGCTTCGACACAAGGGGATTGTCTTGGGGTAACAGGAACCGGCATCACTGTCAGCTTTGAGCCCAGCAGGACTTGGTGCAGTTTGCTCCTCTTGGGAAATGTGGATAAAACACAAGGAATGTGGATAAAACACAGAAAATTTTAATGATTTAAATACTGAGCCACCTGCAGAATTAAATTCCAGGGATTTAAATTCTGAAGATTGAAATTCTCAGACATCTGAGCCATCTTGGACTTCTCTGAGGATCTTGAATGGGGAGCAGAGATCTTTGCCTTCCTGGTGGAGCTTGTTGCCTCTTTTTGGAAAAAAATCTTGGCCAACTGGGGTCTTGATTTTAAGGAATTTTAAGGAAGGGACCTTAAGGACCACCTAATTCCCATGGGTAAGGACATCTTCCCCTAGACCAGGTTAGTCATATATTTAGACTCTGTTTTTCGGGTCTCATCCACATGTGGCAGAAGGTTTTTGGATGGAAGGGCAGCAGGATGAATTTTTGGTTCAGGTGGATGTCACCACATGGATTTAGTGCAGGATGGAGCCAAAGAGCTCCAATCCTCCCCCTCCTCAGCTGCTTTTTCCATTTGTGGGAAATTCTGGGATGTAGCCCTTGCTGTTGGGCTTTCCATCCATCTTTTGTTGTTGAGTTTTATTTAAAAATAATAACAATAATAACAGTAACAATAACAATAATAGTAATAATAATAATAGTAATAATAATAATAATATATTCTTAAAAGGCATCTCCCTGCCCAAATTTCTCCGGGAACGCTTTCACTACGAAGCAAAAAAGTCTTTCCAAGACAGACTCAGCCTCTGGACTCCCCTGAAGTGTCTTGGAAAGAGTTAAGGGATATTTTTCCTTTGGGAATGAAGGGGAAAATGTGTTTGGGGGTAATTTCTCCTCCTGGTGTTAAACCCTGAGCATTCAGCAGGGAAATGCTGGGGTGAATCTTAGTGCTTTGAGCTGTGTCTTGTGTGAAGCCTCTTCCTCAAGGAAGATGCAGGACAGGATGAAACCCTTTGGTGGCATCAGGAGAACAATGGAGAGCAAACACCCCATCAGGCTGGAGGTTGTTTGGGAAAGAAAAAAACCAAAAATTCCAGCTTTTCTCCTTCTGGATGGTAAAATTTAAAAAGCTGCAAGCGAGTTGTCTTTCCCTGCATCCCACTGCTTCAGGGCTTGCAATCTTCCATCCACGATGTGGGGCATCTCCAGCTGCCCTCCACCTCTTTATCTTGTGGAGAAACCCAATTTTATTATCCCTCAGAGATCGGGAATGATGACCAGGGAGAGGATTTGGGTCCCAGGCCCCAGGCCCACCTCTTTTTACCCTTTATCCAAGGGGATTCCCCCACCTTGAAGTCCTTTTCAATCCCTCTCGGATCAGCAKCTGGATGAAACAAATTTGGTGTTAACTTCCCTGTCGGATGCAGCTGGAGCCGCTCGGCTCTGGCTGGGGGAAAACCAGGTTTTATTGAAAAATCTAATGGTGCCACCTGAAGTGTGATTTACTGCACTGTCCACTCCTCAGACTTGATAATATATTTCTATTAGATTTCTCTCTTTTCCCTCTTCTTTCCTGGAGAAGAGTGGCAAGTTTCTCCGTCTGCCTGACACCTTCTTAGGCTTAGGCAAAATAAATGTTGATTTCCATCAGGAGGAAGAGCGCTGGAAGTCCTAATTCTCCGACGAGCCTGACAAGCTCAGCGAAAACCACACGGTTTTCGATGGAAAACTCGTGATCCGGCCTCGGTTCTTCTCCTTTGGAAGCTGTTCAATCATCGGAATGAAAAAGGGGTTGCTTTCGCTAACTAGAAATTATATACCTGGTTCCTCGGAAGATGGATTGCGCCGCTCCCGGAATGCCGGGGAAGGCGGCGGGGGGAGAGGGTGAAGGAGCTGGAGATGCGACCCAAGATTGATCACGCCATTTGCAGGATCTCCCAAGCACAAAACTGGAAAAATATCTTTTCCTTTGCTGGGGTGGGTGAAGCGACGCCCCTGTTTGATCCTGGTTTTGCCTCCTGGGGGTGTTTTCGGGATGTGGTGTTCACCTGTCGGCTGCTCCATCCTTCCTCCATCTCCCTCCTTCCCAGGGGAGAAACTGAACCCATTCAGCCCTCTCACAACCCATTTTGGGTTTGTTTCTTAATTCCTGCCYTGATTTTTTGAGGAATCTGTTGGAAATCAAGCATGGATGCTCTAGAAGTATCTCAGTATAGTGTACACTATACCAAAGGTGGGAGGTTAATCACAGTTGGTTTAAAAATCACCTTTTTTTCTCTTCCAAAAGATTTCTATTTCTGCTTCTGTAATCAGATTTGCTTTGAGCTGCCTYATGGATATCCACTAAGGAAGTTTTCCCTGGCTTATCCAAAGGGAATTGAGCCATTCCCACCATTCCTGTTGAGCTCACACCATGTTCTGGTGGGACAGGTCCATGGAAATGCTGATTTTGACCCCTTGAGGTGACAATCAGCAGCTCCAGACCCTCATTCCAGCACCCAGAATGGGATTGGGGAATACCAGGCTGGAAGAACCCCCTGGCTGGCTGCAAAAGGGAAAAATTGGGAGGCTGGGGACAGGATGGGTGTTTTGCTCCGTGTCACTGTTCCCAAAAGCCGGATTTGGCTGCATTGCCGGTGAGGAATATCCGGATCCGTCGTGGCTGCCGTGCATCCCGCTGATGTATGGGAGTTATATTAAGGGTGGAAAGGTGCTAAATGAGCCCTCTTTATTTTCCATAAATTAACTTAGGAGCGATGAATCACTGCCAGCGCAGCTTCGACTCCCGGCAAGTTTGTCTATCCAAGTTGGAAAGCAAAGGAGAACTCTTGGAGACTCCCCATCATTGGATCTTCACCTCTCCTGCCTCCCCTGCCCCAAAAACTTTCACCTTTGGGCTCCCATGGCTGCTCAAAGGTGTCCTTGGTCCCACCTCCACACTGGGTTCGTCATTTGGGAAGTGCTGTGTGGAATTTTGCAGGAACACSGGCAACAGAACATATGGAAGGGGTTTGGGCTGGATTCCTTCCATCTTCTCCATATCCTTTTCCACATCCATTAATCTTAAGTGAGAGGAGACTTTTCCCACCAAACCTCATCATTCAACAAGCTGTGGGTCCTTTTTTTTTTCTGGGAACCCTTCCCTTTTTTCCATCTTCATTGTCTTCTTCCCCAAGAAAATGATTGCCACTTTCCTTCCCACTCATTACTTTGGTAAGTAGAACCCCATAACCACCTCTCCACACCCTTTGGAGRGGGAAAATTAGGAGAACTTGCAGGAAGATATTTCCAATCTTGTGGTTGAAGTGGAGAAGGACTTCACGCCGTCCTCCTCAGTCCATGGATGATCCTGTGCTTGTCCTGCAAGGAGGTCACCTCCCAGAGGCATCTCATGGAGTTTTGGTTCTACATGAGCATCCAGAACCCTCCTTGGAGGAAGCACCACTTCCAGCAAGTGGAAGTCATTGCCTGGAGCATGCTGGAGGGATGCTGGGAATGCTTGGGGACATGATTGGTGATGCTTGGCTCTTTCTGGCTCCATCCCAGTACCAAGGCAGATCCTGGTGTTCACCCAGTGCTCCAGTGGGAAGTTTKGGATTCTTTTTAATTCTCTTTGTCACCCATAACTTTGGGAATTTTGTAGCAGATTCCTTGCTCGGTGGTGGGAAGGGACTTCTGTCTCGTGCCACTTGTAGGGAGCTGAGGATGCTCAGGGATTTGTGGAATGAGCCACCTCCATCCCAGACATGTCCAGGGGGCATGTGGAGCAGAAGAGGAGCTCAGGACACTCTTACACCTGCATTTCAAGGGATTTCCTGAGCCAGCCTCAATGACTTCCTCCTCTTTCCTTCCTTTTYCTTCCCAGGCAACACCAAACGGAGAAGGATTTTGCCAAGGGCATCCCTGCAGGATTCYGAGAGCCCCCGTGTGGAGGGTGGCAGAGGTGAGTCCAGTGGGTGCTGCCAGGGTGCAGAACCMCCCACATTCCCATTTTCCCACTGCTTTAACCCCCCATGACCAGGTGAAGAAAAACCTGGGAATATCCAGCTGCTTCCCCCTCTTCCCATCATCCCTTTTCTTTTTTTCCTGCCTCCAGGCAAACGGCTGCAGATCAAGCCCCGGCTGTGAGTCAGTCCCGATCCCGTGGCAGCCGACCAGCTCAGGAACCGGAGAGCCAGGAAAAGACCTGGCACCTACCTCAGGATGCCATGTCCAGGCATGGCACCCCCCTCCTCCTCTCGTTTTTTTCCGGGGACGTCATTTGGACGTGGAGTTGTGTGGCAGCGTGGGAATAACACCGCTCATTCCTGCGGGGAAATGGCTTTTGTTTGGAATCTTTGAATTGACCAATAAATGTCCTTTACAGCTGGTTTATTGAAGGCAAGTCCTGCCMCCTCCTTGGATGCTGGGGAGAGCTTCCCATGGCCATCCATCCTCTGGTGCTGTCCCAGACACGAGGTGATAGGGGGGCCTGAGGTGGTTCAATGCCATCAGGGGACATTCCCRCATCCAGGTCAGGGATGTGCTGGGGACAGGTCACTGCTGGGGTGTAATGGGTGTGAGGTCCCCACAGCCCCAATCCTGCCATTCCAAGAGCCCCATCCCCTTGCTTTTGGGAGGAAATTCCTTGGAGCTGAGAGCATCCCTAATGGAAATATGTTGGGAGCAGCACTGAGCTCACACTCTGCATTTTGGGGTCTCCCATGGCCTCATTGCACCCRACCRCCACCTCTCCCTATCCCAGTTGGGKTTTGGGCTCCAYTGGGGAACTCAAACCRACTCTTCAGGGTTTGGAATATTTTGGGGCTCTCCCAATCCAAGCAGAAGCAGGACAGGGGGTGAGCGTTATGCCACTGGAGCAATGGGGKTTTGCATCTGTAGGTATAATTTCCAAGGGATTTTGGGGTGGCAAGTGCTGCTCCCCCACACGGATGAGATTTTGGGAACAGCTGCCTTCGCCAAGAGGTGCCAAGAGCAGGAGCAGCCATTGSGAGGGGTGGGATTTGCTCATCCACTGCTCCTCAGGCAAAATCCCAAGGGGAGAAGGCATCAACAGGAATTTGGGAAAAACTGGGGCTCCCTGGGCATGCAACATCCAGGTGTGATCAGAGTTGGGGTGGGAAATGCCAACACCCCCCAAACATCCCCACAGGGGTTTCCCTCCCCAAGTGACTGCCATGGAGGGGTTTTGTCACCATCCCAAATCCACAACACCCCCCAGGTGATGGAGGACCAGTGGGTCCCCACCCTGGGATGTCATTTGTGCCCCAGGGTGTTTCTGATAAGTTGATTTTTAATAAAAACATTGTGGTTTTCGTTGTTATTAAAATGTCTTTTGTTAACTCCTGTGTTTTGATATGTAAATAAAGAGTTTCCTCCCCTGGGATGGAGGAGCCTCCCTGTGGCTTTCCTCTTTTTTCAGCAGTGCATGAACGTTCCATCAAATACCCATCCCAGTCCACTGGAGGAGTCACTCCGATCCCTAAATCCTCGATTTTTTATTTAAACTTTTTACCCAGAAACGTTGTTTCTTCACATAGTGGTTTCCTAAAAACAAAAACAAAAACAAAACAACTAAATTCCCTAAAATTCACCCTGGRGGAGGAGGAGACGGTGCTGCTGCGAATCCTCAGGGATGGCCAGCGGTGGCCGGGAGCTTTGGTTTTYCACGGTTCCCTAACGAGGATAATCCTCGCGCTGCACTAATTAAAGGAGGCAATGAGCGGCGCCGCTCCGAGCCCGTGGCTCCGCCGCCCACCGGCACCGCTGCTCCCTTCCCGGGGACCATTGGAATTTCCAGCCGGCTGTCGTTAAAGCTCTGCTTGGGGGTGATTAATTTCCATGCAGGGATAAACGCGGCCCCGGGAGAGGTGTCGCTGAGCTCCGCTGGGTTCTCCCTCCGTCTCCAGCATCCTCAATTCCTCGGCAGCGGGCTCCGRTGGGATTTATCCTCGCTGTGGAGCCGGGGCGCACGGTTGGGCTCGGGGACCCGGCAAGGACATTCCCTGGGGGTGYCGCGGCGGGAAGGTTGCACGGGGTGGATTTTCTGGAGGGCTCCATAAACATTTCCTGGAAAACCCTCCTGCGGCGGGTGCTGCTGGCACCGCTCTTGGTCCCCTGCCGGGGAAGCAGGTGCCGGGTGAACGTCACCCGCCGGGATCAGTTTTCTGCCTGTCATCGGGGTGGCTGTTCCCCTGCCCTCCTCCTCCTTCTCCAACTTCTCCTCTTCATCCTCATCCTCCTCATCCTCCTCCCAACCTCTCCTAGGATTTTCCCCGCCTCCCAAAATTCCTGACCCTGCAGCGACACCGGGTCGGGTGTGACAGACGCTGGTGAAGCGTCATCGAGATGGTCCCACCCTCTCTGCGTGGTGGCATCGTGGTGGACACCACCTATCCATAAGGTGATGTCACTGTCCCCAAGCCACCAACACCCCAAACTGGGAGCTATGCACCATCCAGGGAAACTGAGGCAGCCCCGGGCGGGCACCCGGCCCCGCTCCAAGGGGTGATGGGGCACACGAGCTCTAAAAGYGAAAGGTGACGCCATCCCACCACCATGCCGAGGCCACCAACCTGGTTATGTCACTTGACCGCCTGTGAGTAAACTTAGCTGACGGGCCCGGCGTGGCGGGGAGGGTTGGGGACATGCCACGGGCATTTCCTAAAAATACCCCCGGGGGTGTCGCAGGGGAGCCACGGCCCCGTTGGAGCCCGGCCCGGTCCTAATCCCCTGGTGGCTCCTGTCCCAGCGTGGRTGGCAGCTGCTGGTGGGGGCCGGGTGCCCCCAAGGTGGAGCAGCTCCGGGCAAGAACGTGGTGCCAGGGGGAGGGAGGTGGCACCCCGTATTTTCCCAATATCCCACAGCACAGGTGGGATGATGATGGATTTAGGGTCACACAATGAGGCAAAAAGGGTTAAAACCACTCCATGAAAAAGGTTTTTTCTTCTTGTCCCATTCTTTGCTCCCTCCCTCAAGTCATGGGGGGGATGTTATTTTCCACGCCCAAGTTTGGGGTCTCCAGTGTGGGGTATCTGTGTGGGATATGGGATGACATCCAGCATCACCAGGGGATTTAGGGTCAAGTTTAGGGCTTTGCCTCTATCCATGAGCCTTTCCAAGGGGGAAAAAATTATTCCCCCTCTACTCTGACTCAATCAGCAGGAGAAAGATGGACCTTCCCAAGGCCAGGTCCAGCAAAAGCAATAATGTGGGATTTTAATTGCTAGGATTGCAGCGGGATAAAGATTTTCATCCTCAAAACCCACCTTTTCGGCATTAATTTGACCCTACATCTGAAGGGTGAATTGGCAGCCGTGGAGGGCAGTGTCCCCTGTCCCCAAGTCCCCAAGCAGCCATTGGCTGGATGAGGAGAATGTCACCCCCCACATGCAGAGGAGCTGCCTGTGGGATGCAATAGAGTGGGATGCAGCAGGGTTGGGGTGCAGTAGGACCCAGGAAGCATCCTGGGGGTGACAGAGAAAATCCTGGACCCCAAGGGGATGAGTGAGTGGGTGTTGCCAGCCTCTGTGAGATGAAGCTGCTCATCCYCTGGCATTAGGTTGGACYACTCCGTGTCGACTGYCCCGTGCCTCAGTTTCCCTGTCCCTTCCAGGCTGCAGCCGTGAGGTGGCAGATGGAGCAGCAAGGCCACATCCCAGCCAAGGCCTCACCCAGGGGTGGGATGAGCACCCCCAAAACCCCCTGACCAGCTTCCACGGGGTGCTAGTGACACCTTTTCCAGGTGCCGGGTGGTAGTCCTTTCCTCGACCCGGTGATGCTTCCGGTACAGGTGTCACCTGTGCCAGGTGCGGATGTCACCTCCAAAAACAAAGGCAGCACTGGAGCACGCAGAGGTGCACGTGGCTGACCACCAACAATTTATGGAAAATCCCGAGAAATCCCCAGAATTACATTTATTTGACTTTCTGAAAGGATGGAAGTGCTTTGGGAAGGATCCTGGGCTGTTCCTGAGATGGGGAAGGGGCTGTGCTCCGATGTCACCCAGCGGGATGCTGTGATCTATTAGCGAGGTGGAATCAAACCTGATTTAGGCYCAATAATCCTCTTTTTGGATCTTTCCCATTTTTGGGGAATAGGAAATTAGGATTTCTTGGATGTTTTTCCCCACTCCACGCTCAGCTCAGAGCGGGGGGTGGTAGATGCAGCCGCACATTGGGATGCCGGAGCCGAGGGGGTCGGGGGGGGGTACCCGGAGCATTTTCCCCCCTTCCCCGTCGGAGATTGACAGCTGCCCCGGGGGCGTTGCTATGGGGATATGCAAATCTAAGCGGGCTGTCGGGGCGCTGATAGGCTGTAAGAGCTTAACCCCGCCTCGGTGGGAGGTGCCGTGCCTCGTTTTCCCCGTATAAAGAGCGGCGAGTTCCATTGAGCGCCCGGCGGCGGCGGCGCCGGTCGCGGGTAGGGGCGGGCAGGGGAGCGGCCCCCGCCCCCAGGGCGCCGTGTCCCGGCGGGAGGAGGAGGCAGGAGAAGGCTCGGAGCCCGGGGAGGTGGGGCTGGGGCAGGTGCCAGGGGAGGCAGGAAGGGGCGGGCAGGGCGCTGCCCGCTCCTCGCCATTGGGAACCGGCCGCAGGCAGCGGCGGAGCCCGCCCGGCCCGAGCTCAGAGCCGTGGCGGCCGGAGGAGAGTCCCGGAGCCCGGCTGCAGACCGGACACCAGCAGCGGAGCCGAGCCCCGACGGAGAGAGGTGGCTGCCCCGCAGCCCGCAGCGGAGCCCCGGCTGGGGGTCCCGGAGCCYCGTTCCGGAGCCCGGCTGAACGCACCGCGAAGTCCCGTCGGAAGCGAACAACGGAGCCCGGCTGAGCCCCGCAGCAAGAGAGTCCTGGAGCTCGGCTGAGCCCCGCAGCACAGCCCCATCCCGGGCAACACTGAACCTCCCCTCAAAGTCACATCGGAGCGTCCCGGAGCCCGGCTGAGCCCCGCAGCGGATCCCTGTCGCAGCGTCCCGGAGTCCCGCTGAACGCCACCGCAAAGCTCCGCCAGAAGGTCCCGCAGCCCGGCTGAATCCCACCGCAAAGTCCCGTCGGGAGTTCCCGGAGCCCCTCAGCGGAGCCCCGGCGGAGCGTCCCGGAGCCCTGCAGCCGATCCCCGTCCGAGTGTCCCGGAGCCCCGCCGAACCCCACCGCAAAGCCCCGGCACAGCGTCCCGGAGCCCGACCGGAGGAGGCTCCCGGAGCCCGCGGGACCCTCGGCGAGCGGCGGTGCCCAGGGGCTCCCGCCCCGGTCCCTCCATGGACTGAGATGGCCTCGGAGCTGGCCATGAGCGCGGAGCTGCCYACGAGCCCCCTCGCCATCGAGTACGTGAACGATTTCGACCTGATGAAGTTCGAGGTGAAGAAGGAGCCGGCGGAGGCGGAGCGGCTGTGCCACCGTCTGCCCGCCGGGTCCCTGTCGTCCACCCCGCTCAGCACGCCCTGCTCCTCCGTGCCTTCCTCGCCCAGCTTCTGCGCTCCCAGCCCCGGCGGGCAACCGGCCCCCGGCCCCCCGGCTACCAGCGCCGCTTCCCTGGGCTCCAAACAGCAGCTGGAGGAGCTGTACTGGATGTCGGGTTACCAGCATCACCTCAACCCCGAAGCTCTCAACCTGACGCCGGAGGACGCGGTGGAGGCGTTGATCGGTGCCCCTCAYCAYCATCATCATCACCAYCAAGGGTACGAGCCCTTCCGACCTCAGCCCTTCGGGGGCGAGGAGCTGCCGCCGGCCGCCCATCACCATCCCGGCCATCACCATCATCATCAYCACCACCTACGCCTGGAGGACCGCTTCTCCGACGATCAGCTGGTGAGTATGTCCGTGCGGGAGCTGAACCGSCAGCTGCGGGGCTTCAGCAAGGAGGAGGTGATCCGCCTCAAGCAGAAGAGGAGGACCTTGAAGAACCGGGGCTACGCTCAATCCTGCCGCTACAAGCGGGTCCAGCARCGGCACATCTTGGAGAACGAGAAATGCCAACTGCAGAGCCAGGTGGAGCAGCTCAAGCAGGAGGTGACCCGCTTGGCCAAGGAAAGGGATCTGTACAAAGAAAAATACGAGAAGTTGGCCGGCCGGGGTTTCCCGAGGGAGCCCTCCCCATCCGGCGCCCCGAAAGCCACCGCTGACTTCTTCATGTGAGCCGGGCTGGTGGGATGGGGTGGGATCTCCTTTTTTTGGTTTTTCCTCACGCGGGGAGAGCAAACCCGCCGCTTGTATTTAAAAAAAAAAAAAAAATAATATTATGATGTCCCCACCGGAATTTTGGGGAGCGGAGATTGAACTCCCTCCCTCTCTCCCTCTCACCACGCACCCACYCATCGGGACTCGGGGTGGGGGGTCCCGGGGTGGGGGAGTGGGGGGCAGCCCTGCATGCGGGACGTGTACGGCCACCCGCCCCCCTTCCCGGGAGCATCGGCGCCATCCAGGTGGCTTCTCCCCCCTACTTTTCCTGCGGGTTTTCCCCTCCATTGGGATTTTTATTCTTCGAGGGGTCCCCACGGATCGGCCGGCGGGGTCCCCGGCAGCGCTGCGCCCTGCCCGACCCCTCCGCCCACCCCCCCATTCCCGGCCGGCGAAMCTGAGCCACATTTAACTTATTCACCTTTGTAAATATGTAGAAAATTAGTTCGTTTTTGCCTTTTTTTTTCCTTTTATTTTATTTTTTCCTTGAGCCTATATTTTGCTTGGTGATTTACGAGAAAAAGAAAATGAACAAAAAAACAACAAAAAAAACCCTAAAATCCTTTAGAAAAGAGAAAAAAAATACATGAGTCTTAAAAGTTTGTATGTAATAGCATGCAAATAATATCCGAGTTAATTTAACGATGTTGGGAAGAAGCCGAATGCACTATATACAGGAATCAATTGGGTGAAATAATACTGTTTTATAGAGATTTAAAATTATCTATGCTCTTAAAGATAGTGGGGAGGGGAGGGAGGGGAARAGGCAACAATTTTGGGGTGACCTGAAAGGCAATATAGTAATATATGGACTGCAAACGGTTGGCTGCTATCTCACTATGCACCAGATTTATTTATTAACCCTCGGGAAACGGAAAATCTTATTTTAACCTCGACGTTTGGAAAAAAAAAAAAGACGGCAAGAAAATGCACATTATTTGTTGTGGAAACGAAAGAAAAAAGGAGGATTAAGAATTCGTGCAATCGTTGGAGCAAAAGCAGGACCGATCCTGCGCGGAGGAGCGGGGCGAGTTTGTTTTTTTTGTTTTTTTTTTTAAACGAGTTGCTTATTTAAAAAAGGAGGAAAAAAAAGCATTAAAAAAAAGAACAAATTTTGGGGGGAAACAAAAGGGTCCTGCGGACAAAGCGAGTTTGGAAGCCTGGTGCATTTTAGGGACTGATCGTGCGAAGCGTTTTTAACGACCTGTTGTTTCGATTTGTGACGGTTTTAATGATGTTGCATCAAGATAAAAACTTATATTCAACTAGAGCCTGGGTCGGGTTTTCTCTCGACTTTGSGGGGTCCCGCAGCTTCGGGATTTTGTCTGGGGGTTGTTTATTCTTCCCTTTAATTCCCTGTGTTGCAAAACCTTCCCCGAGCTCCCGCCGAGATAAATCCGGTGCTGAGTGTCGCCCCTGCCCCATTGAACTCTGGCTTTTCACTTTTTCTGCCTTTTTTTCTT